CAAATATACCTAATGAGATCAATTAACTAGATATAAGAGCTTCATATAAAACTTTCGATAATATTAAAATAGCCCAAGTTTTATTAACCTTAGCTAGTTTAGCCTGGAGGTGGATGCCACACTTCTTGGGTTTTTGTTGCAATAAGACATATCAAAACTGTTTTGCTTTGCATAGATAACCTTGAACTTACTCTACCAGATTAGATTTTCTGTTGGTTATAACGTCATATGAAGTCACATGGCATTAATAAGTCTGACATCTTTGATCCGAAGTTGTCGTAAACTTGTGATAAAATTCTAGGCAGGTGAATTACAAGTTGATTTTCATTTTCGTAAAAAAATACCGCACTACTGCGTGTTTGTTTGTTTTGTTTTCGTTTTGTTTTCATGGTTGATGACATATACGTCCCCTATTTGTCAATTGGGCCTGCTAAGGTAACTACAAGAGCAGGCAAAGAAATGAAAGGAATCCCATTATTTCATATATATCAGTTCAGAACGTTCCATCACTAGTGCCTGCATTTCATATCTTTAGCGTGTTACAGACTGAGGGATTTGCAGACAATTTATAGGTTTTCAGTAAGGTTTTGGTAGACGGAAAGGAGTTGAAATAATCAACTGTAACATCCATTTCAGTTCATAATTATCTAGCTTTCAAGAAATATTTTTTGCCTGTGCTTGCTCAATAAAGTTTGTAGAGATTTTGATTAGTTTTCCGGCAAACTCTGATAAAAACGCACAGCAGGATAACAAATCATGGATAACCTTACTTCGTGAACGAAAGGACATTATATATAAATTTTGATTTATATGTATTTATCGGGCGTGTGTGCCCGCCGAAGAATGTATGGACGATAGGTCTCTAGCGCCTGCTATGAGGGAATTTGTAGACAGTTTTAAACATTTTCTCAAATAGTTTGTCATAAGAGAAAAGCAGGAAAACAGTATGCTTCTGTATTCATTCTGATTCATATTTACCCTTGCTTGTAATATAATTGCACTGTAGAGTGCTGTTAATACGTCTGATGACATTTTGATATTCATCTCTTGCGCTAAAGGAATATGTATTCAATTTATGCGTTTATCGTAACATTCGTGGTGAGATACAAAAGCAGGAAAGCTTATAAGGTGGTAAACTAGAACGTATCTGTGACGCTTGTGTTGTGCTTGCATGGGTTTTCTTCAATCTTACTGCGAAAGAGGGATTTATAGGAGAATTTATCAATTGTTTGCCTTACATTTTTGGCAAATGACGAGGCAGGGAAATGATAACCTTATATATCCGTTTCAGTTTGGGTCAGTGAAAAAAGAAAAAGTTTCGTTTTCTGTGTCTAAAAGTGGACCTTTACCACCTTTTTCTCATGTTTTTGCTGAACAGGGTTATGTAGACAATCTTACAGTCCTTCAATAAATTTTTCGTAAAATAAAAACCGGAGGAACACATAAACTATTGTTTTCGTAAAATTTTGGTAAAGTGCAAGAGGTGCATCCATTTTAATTCATATTCATTGTTTCTGCAATTTTATATTGCTTGTGCGTGCTTTTTAGACATTTGCTATATTCATTGCTGGTCCCTGCTATAAATGGGTATGTTGGCAATATAATTGGTAAAACGCAAAGCAAGGTGGCAGAGGAAACATACACATGTATCCGTTACAATTCATGGTCTCTTTACAAGAAACCAGGATGGTCTTTGAACAAGAAAAAATCACCGCCACGCAGCTTCGGGTTGACACTTTTTGTTGGATAGTTCAGCTTGACATTTTCAATGTAGTCCACCAATTATATAAGAAACCATAGTTGACACTTTTGCGCATATCGCCGTTGTTGTTTCATGATGAGCCACTCTCATTCACTGCGACCAATTTTTGTCGAAATAATTAAATTCGTATTTCTCCCTCATCCCCTATTTTTGTTTACTGCGATGTTGACCCTGCTGATTTCAATACGACCAGCCACCCCGGGCTCATGTAAACATTACGTTTTGTTATGGTTTAGCGGCCAGCCGACTTAAACCGGTATCCGTATATCCCGGAGTCTTGTAAAGAGGCCTTCAGATTTGATATCTACTGATCTATCTGTGCCTGCTTTAGTGTTGTTTGTAGACAATTTATAACTTTTCTGTAAAGATTAATCGGTAAAAGAAAAAAACAGCTGCAAAGTAAAGTGATTTATTATATGGATATTGATGAAAAACCGGGATTTTTCTTGTTCGTAAAATTTGTAAATCTTTTTCATCTCGTAGATATAGATGTCATCATGGTTACGAACATTATAAATTTTCTTCCAACGTCAATAAAGTTCAATTTTACTTTTTTAACGCAGAAAATAACAATTTTTAAGAGGCAAACGTACTTTTC